GGTTTTTGAGCGAAATTTTTTTGGAAGAGGAATCTGATGTGGCACCCCAACTTTACTTTACTTTCCTTTTAATTTTTTGCAAACCAAACATATGATTGTGGGGGAAAACAGTGTGTCAGTTTTCTGATGGGTCACTTTCTGCCCCTTTCTGCCCCCTTTCTGTATTTTTTTGACCAAACAAACAGGCCCTAAGAAGAATTTGAAAGAGTAACAAAATCTCCTGATTTCTTGTTATTAAACGTTACCACCTCAACTTCTTGAGAATTAAATGACTTCAAATTAGTTCTTCCATTTTAACATTAAATTTAATTCACAAAGACTAATATTTGACATATGAAAAGCATCATTTCCTGACCTTGGCTTCCCTAAATACTCTAGGAATATATATATTAAAACAAGAAAGAGAACAAAACGCTATTGAGTTTACTTGCACGTGGGAAGTAGCTAAAACTAAAACACCAAAACGATTGAACGGGTTAATTAGAGTCGAGAGACAACGTTCATTTAGGAGGAATGAACACAATAATAAATGGGAATAGGTAGGAACCACATTTATTTTGTTTGGAACTAATTAACTATTTCCTTTAAAATTGTTAATATTGAAGATAAACAATGAAAGGTCTACGTCATTTGGGGATTTAATTGAGGGTCATGAAATGGGAATCCAAATGTTTTCATATTCTAACTGTTTGAGTTTGTAAAAGAAATAATATATTATATTTGCAAAATATCATAGCTATTACAAAATTCTAATGGAGAAAATTGAAAGAATGTAAATGATGGCACAAATTCTAAATTTGGTTTTGATTTCTTAGAGAATAAGTCATCCAATATAGATACAAAGATGAAGAAGAATTAATTTTATACAAGAATAAGACAAGAAGCAGATAACATGTTTGTTAATCATAACATAAGACTCATAACATACACTAATTTTCTATATAAAGAATAAAAACATCTTTTTCCCTTTACATTGTCCACAAGGATAACACATAACTCTTGTCTGGTACATCCCCCTAATGGTTAATCTATATAATTAGTGACGCAGCGTGGAAGTGATAACCTCGGAATCCACCAAGGGGTGTTCTCTGAATCCACAAAGAACGATCTCTGAATCCACAAAGAACTTTGAATCCACAAAGAAAATATTAAAAGAGAAATTTTATTGATGAAAAGTTATTCTTCTTTGGGGTTACATGACTCTTCTTAAATAAATAAATAAATAAATCTTCTAGTAAGATTAGAATTACAAAGAAATAGAAAGTATCAAAATTTACCTAAAAAAACTCCCTATAATAGAGAAAATAAATTATGAATAAAAATTGAATTTGTTTCCTAATCTAATTTGACTCTAATATTGAATTTATTTTATAATCTAAGTAGACTCCAACTTTATTACTAAAAATAAACTAAAAGCTGAATATTTAGGGATTTTAGTCAAAACTGAGTATTACGAATGAGATTTTAAAAATCTGACAATTTGGTTGGCTCCGTCTCGTTGAGATAGGCGATTTACATATATAATATGTCAGAATCCGCCTTCTGGGTTAGAAGATATGATTATTTCTTTGCGAAAGTCAATAATACGTATAAATCTGTATTTAGCTCGTGATTGTCCGAATCCTCTATGGAATTGTCCGTTAAGTGTCGTACATCAGTCTCTCCTTGTTGAAAAGAACTCGACCCTGAGCTTATATTTGTTAGAATAGTAGCTTCATTGATAAATAATTTTCTTCTCTTGTAACGATTAGCATCTGATTGCACTTAGCATTGATTATCTCCATCTATTGTTTACCTCTTCGGCTAGGGCTATCAAAATTTTGAATAAATCTTTCACACACCATGTTTACGTGACTAACGACATGTGGATTGCAGTTGACTTAAAAAACTCCTCAAAATATGTTCTATGTTGCTTCTCATATTCTAATGCTGAAAGTTTCATTAAAATCATCTTGAAATTATTCACAACCTTTGCTTTCAGGGAAGAAAATCCCGCCTCATAATCCTTACACAATTCTTCCATCTCCTTTGCCTTTAGCCCTCCACTAAGCAATTCACACATATCATCAATTACCTCACTCTCTAATTTATTCTTCTCCTCCACCGGGACAACATTCATATGTACAATATCACTCTCAACCCCTTTGGGAATATCATGCATATCATTCATCTTCACTATCATATCACCATCATGAATCTCAAGAATAAAGAGTGTTTGCACCTTAGGAGGAATTTCAGCATGGGCAGGTTCTTCATTTCCAATTACAACTAAGTCATAGACCTCTTCAAATTGCTTCATATTTTCTGCTAAAGCCTTGTTATTTGCCACCAAAGGTTTCTTCTTCTCAATAGCCTTTATCTTAGATGTCTCCTTTTCTATAAGAGGCATAAGTACAATTCTGCGTTCATCCTTCTTGAAGATACAAGCATTGTCTCTGCTTCTATGGGTAGCTACAATATCGAATTGTCATGGCCTACCTAAAAGCATATGACAAGTATCCATCTCGACCACATCACACAACACCTCATCAATATAGTTGCGGCCTATAGAAAAAGGTACCCGACACATCTCATCGTTCTACACATTATTACCCTTCCGAATCCAGTCAGTCTTGTAGAGAGGTGGGTGTTTCTCTGTCTTCAAACCTAATTTATTTACCATGCGCTGAGAGACAAGATTCTTGCTACTGTGACTATCAATGATATCATCACAAACCTTCTGCAGCACAGTGCATCTCGTGCAGAAGATATTATGCTCTAGAGGTGGTTCTTCTTTCTTTATTGCTTCTTTAGTGCTCTTCCCAACTCCAAGGTCTTTCTTAGGGTCATTACTGCTATTGAATTCATCATGTGGATTCGGATCACGTCGCTGATGATCCTCAACGTGATTTCAAACTCCCACCGTGTTTAGACGCTCCACTACCGATGCAAGTTTCTTTAAAGCAGTCTTTATCTGATTAACATCGATCTTCAACTCATTCAACTTAGTTCGAGAAATAGGGGTTTTGTTGCCTGCCATCGGGTCAGAAAACCTGGCTCTAATACCAATTAACGCAGCGTGGAAGTGATAACCTCGGAATTCACCAATGGGTGTTATCTGAATCCACAAAGAACGATCCCCGAATCCACGAAAAATTTTGAATCCATAAAGAAAATATTAAAAAATAAATTTTATTGATGAAAAGTTATTCTTCTTTGGGGTTACCTGACTTTTCTTAAATAGAAAAATAAATAAGACTCCTAGTAAGACTATAATTATAAAGAAATAGAAACTATCAAAATTTATCCTAAAAAAGACTCCCTATAATAGAGGAAATAAATCATGAATCAAATTGAATTTGTTTCCTAATCTAAATAGACTCCGACTTTATTACTAAAAAAACTAAAAGCTGATTATAGCTAAAAAAACTCTTAACACTTAACTCTCCTTCTTGCCCACTTAAGCTCTTTACTGACTTGATCGTTGGAGGAACCATCAGAGATCCCAACTCCGACCTCTCACGTGTTGTTCATTTGCAGGACATGACTCTCAGCTTAAGAACAAACCATTTGAAGAAGATTGAGAATCCTAACACCCCATAATCTCCATATAATTCCTTGTTAGATAACTGACATCAACATCATCATATGGTTTTAAATGTATAGTAGATAGACCCTATCGCATATCCTAAAAGGACATCGATTTCATTTTGATGCAACATCTCTACCAAATTATAACATCTTATACTGTATTTCACAATTAAATCTAGTCTTTTGAACATTTTTAGCTCTAGCATCCCTAAAATTTTCTTTAATTCTCACAAAAACTAGTATACAAGAGTATCTCATTAACTAAAGGGAATATCTAGCGTAAAAGGTGCCTTCTTATTCTTCAGCTCGTGCCTAGTCTAGTTATTCTTTAAGCTTCTGCCATATGTAGACGGCGAGCTAAAAAGACGAGCGTAGTCCCATGAATAGGCATAGCTTTTAGATCGTTCCATCAAGAGAGACATAATCGAACCTTTATGGAATCAAGTGTAGCGTTGTAAGAAGTAAGAACAGGGGATAAAACTACTGGGACCCACTCTCTAATAGGGTAAGCACTAAGAGATATCTATCTGGCTACCAAATCGAGCCTACCCGACAACTCATGGTTCAAGAAAAATAACCCTTGACTCTGACCTTCTGTTTTGTACATATCTTATATTAGTATATATTAGTACTAGTATGGACCCTGTGCAAAGCACAACCGTTTATTTTTTTATCATTGTATTTTAAATTTGCGTCTCTCTAAGTTTTAATACATTTGATTTGATTATTATACTCTTAAAATTTAAAATTTTAAAATATATGTTACCAAAATTTTTGTGATCTGACGCTTATACATTCGTCTACATTGATGATTATTCAGATTAATTTGAGGCTTGCGTTGAGGAATAATTCAAAGTAGTATATGATGGTTAGGGGTGGAAACAAACCAAATATTTAATAAACAATTCGCTTAATATCCGTCTAGATATTCGGTCATATTCGATCCGACTGTTCATTTAATACTAAATGATTATTTTTAGTATTCAACTTACAAACAAATAGAATTTAACTAAAGTTATATTCGATCAGGGTGATTATTAACTATTCGGTAACCTTTTTATGTTAATCCTATTAATTAAACTTGTTGCAAACATTACCCATCAAAAAAAATTTTACAGCTTCTTCCCCATATATAAATAGTCTTATGACGGTTATTATTCGTCTAGATATTCGATCAAGTTCGGTTCGGTAGTTCAATTAGTACTAAACAAATAATTTTTAGTATTCCGCTTATAAATGAATATAATTTAACAAAAGGTATGTTTGTTTCGGAAGTCCATTAACTATTCGATTAGTTTTTGCATTTTTGTCCTATTAATTTAATTTATTACAAATATTACTTATCTAAAATTTTATTTACAAAGCTATCCATATAAATAGCTAAGAGAGAGGATTCTAGAGCTAGGGTTTCACTTTTCTTCTTCGTTCTATCAGCCTCCTCCAGATCTGATCGCCTCCTCTCTCCTCTCTTTCTCTCTCTCCCCTCACCTCCTCCAGATCTGATCGGTTCCTCTCTCTTCTCTCTCTCTCCCTCTCTCCCCCCCCCTTTCAGATCTAACTCCAAGTAGATGAGCTCCTCTCTCTTCTTTCTCTCTCCTTCAGATCCATGACTCCAAGTGGATTCTAGAGCTTGGGTATTCATTGTTCTCCCTCGAAGCTGGTTGCTCACTCCTCCCTCAAAGCTCATTCTTTGAATCTTGTTGCGTCGTAGCTCGTCGTCCCTCGAATTTCGTTGTCGACTTCTCCCTTGAATTTCATCGTCGACTTCTCTCGAATCTCGTCGTCTACTCCTCCCTTGAATTTTGTCGACTCCTCCCTGGAATTTTGTCGACTCCTCCCTCGAATTTCGTTTTATTTTTTGTCGGCTTTGCGAAAATCCCTGCCTTTCTTAGTGGAAATCGTCGGGTTTTTGCTTGATTTGTTAGATTTCGGAAATTACAGGTATAATTTCTGCATGATGTTCCCTTTCGTTGATTAGTTGATGAATAATTTCATATCAAAACCATGAAATATTGTTAATCGATTGTTTCCCTATTTTTGGTATTATTTATGTTTAATTTCATTCTAGATTCGTTAAATTTGGTTGATCTATCTCATCTCACGAATTACGGAACCCTAAATTTGGTCGCTCTTTATTCTTTTTATTCCCACAAATATAGCTAAATGAAATAATCTACATGGGAATAAATTACATGCTAGAAATGGGTTTGTATCTATATTTCAGTGAAATTATTCGTTACTAATTTGAAGCATTTTTCCTATCCTATTTCAATTCAGAGTTATATTATCAAATTATGTTTTGTAGTGCTTTTGAAAATTCTTTTTTTGTGGTAGATTTATTTACAATCACAAGTTAAATATTTCATGCTAACCCATTTGTATTCGCCATTTCTCCTGGTTTCAGGTTGGTCACTTGCATCTTGTGAAATCATATATGGTCGTGGTACAGAGCAATAATGTATTTGCTATGAATGAAGCTTTGAATGAAATCTATGTTGAAGAAGAAGATTATGAAAGGCTAAGGGAAATCTATGTTGAAGAAGAAGATTATGAAAGGATAAGGGAATCCATTGAGTTGCATGATAACTACAGTTTGCTATTTTTTTAAAATAGTGAATCTACAGCTTGCTAAGTACAAACATGAAATTTGTATGGCAAATTTTTCTTGTGTGCAAGCAGATTGAAAAGCATGAGCTTCTTGAAATGATACGGGTTGCTGCATATATTTATAAGAAAGCTGGAAGATGGACACAGTCTGAGGAATTGCTTGATATTTATAAAAAAAGACAAAATGTACAAAGATGCTATGGAGACGTGTTCTCATTCTGGTGAAAGGGAGCACTCTGAGGAATTACTTGTTTATTTCATTGTGCAGGTAATTTATTTTAACTTGTTTTTTTTATCATCTTCCTTATGATGAAAACTTCACACATTTCATTTGCATGATATTTCTACATTCTCTTCAAATTGATGAAATCTGTAAATAAAATTGGGGATATATAAATTGCCTATAAGTTGCTCATTTAAATTGCTTGCTTAAGATGAGCATTGTAAGTCCAATTTGAAGTCTTAACTAACTCTCTTTTTTGCCTATTTCTTCATACTAAAGGCAGGGGACTGCTTGAGTAAAGTCTAGGCAGTAGAGATTTTCCTTCTTAACTGCTGCTCAAATGGCTATAAGAGTTGTGAAGTTTGCAAGAAAATTATCGCAAGGAAAGAATTGCATGCATGAGTTAAAATGAAAGCTTGAACAGGTTGAAATTTATTTTGAGGAAAAAATTACCCTTAAGTGATCAACGCAAGTAAGTTTTTAATTAGTGTATTTTAATTTGTGTTGTTTCTGTGTTATAATCTTGGGACATAGTTAATTTTTGAAAGACATATCTTAGAGTGAAAATACTCATATTGACTTATCTTTACAGTCTTGACATTGTATCAGATTATTTCAGAATTGTTCTCAATTTTTAGATATCCTAATAAGCTATATACATACTCTAATGCAAATGGTAATTCCCACAAATATAGTTAAATGGAATAGTCTGCATGGGAATAAATTATGACACATATAGTTAAATGAATTAATCTCATAAATAAAATTAAGTTTTAAGCACTCTATATTTTCTCATGAAGTTGAAAGAGCTGGTTTTATCATGTAGATTTTATAATTGAAAGAGTTGGTTTTATTATGTAGTCAACAACGATATCTTTATAATTTGGTTGATCTATCTTATCTCCTAGAAATCTGGTTTAGTTTCATTGTGAAATTTTAGCTATTTCTTCATCTCGCTTTTTATGTGTTTACTAATTTATATGAATGAATATGAATGAATGAAATTTGTTTCATTTTTGTGAATAGGTCAGCGTTTTCAGTTTTTAACATGGAAAAGTTATTGTTTTCTATTAGATACTGGTTTACAAAAAAAGGAATTGGTTAGTGCAGTAAGATGTGAATAAATGAAATGAGATATAGTTATCTGGTCAATTAAATTTGGCTTGATATTTGTTAAGTTTTCTGCTGTAACAGCAATTAAAATGGGAAGAATTGAGTATTTTCTGTCTATTTAACTGACTTATGCTTAGGTTTAACATTTGCATTATGGAGTTCCTTTTCTAGAACGATGAATTTTAATAGTAAAAAGCTTTGAATGTTTTTTAAGTTAAAGTATAAATTAATCTGTAAATATAAATTATCCTGAGCTCTAGTAAGTCCTCATAGATTTTTGTGATGAATTCGAGCTTGTTTAGTTGTAATTTTAGTAGGAATTGTTGCTATTTTGTAGCTTATGAGTTTAATCATACATAGTTGAAAGAATTGGTTTTATCATGTAGCTTTTATAATTAATAGAACTTGTTTTATCATGTAGTCAGCAACAATAACTTTATAATTTGAATAAATTGATAGATTTGTATTACCTGTGAAGTTCGTAGAGCTTCGAAATATACAACATCATAAATTATTGCTTCCAAAGCCTTCATAAGTTGTTCTCACTGTGAATATTCCTACATGTATGATGAAAAATTTATTATCAGTAGTATAGATGGTTCATAATTTATTAATTCAAATGTTATGTTTCACAAAAAATATGTTTTAAGCACTCTATTTTCTTATTAAGTTTATGAGTTTAATGTTATAAGTTGATGTTTTCCCTCTTAAAATCCTATTGACTGTGGATGCAGTAATTTGTTGAAATCTGTAAATAAAATTGGGGATATATATATTGCCTATAAGTTGCTCATTTAAATTGCTTGTTTAAGATGAGTGTTGTTAGTCCAATTTGAAGTTTTAACTAACTCTCTTTTGTGGCTTTTTCTTCATACTAAAGGCAATGAAGTGCTTGTGTAAAATTGAGGCAATATAGATCTTTCTTCTTAACTACTGCACAAATAGCTATAAGAGGTGCGAACTTTGCAAGAAAATTATCGCAAGGAAAGAATTGCATGCATAAGTTAAAATGAAAGCTTGATCAGGTTGAATATATTTTGAGTATAAAATCACCTTTAAGTGATCAACGCTGGTAAGTTTTTAATTAGTGTATTTTAATTACTTTGTGTTGTTTCATTGTCATAATCTTGGGACATAGTTAATTTTAATTACTTTGTATATACCGCTGTCAAGAAACCAATACATATGCATTTTAGTATACAATGATGAATTAAAATGATAAAAAAAAACTTATTCTATTATCATTAAGTTTATTTGTTCTAGTGCATCCACTATTTAGCGTGACTGGGTAGCATGAATAGTTTGGATGTACATTCTTAATTTTTTTGATGTTTTGAGGAAAGGAAAATATTAGTTATAACTACAAAATAAAAGGCTTTATTGATTCTTGTTGCTAATTTTTATTGTTGGCTTTTTGTGCTTACATTGAGGTATTGGTTGTTGGCTTATTGTGGTATATAATGGTCAGTTTGAACTTAATGACAAATGGCTTTCTTTGGTACTCAATTCTGGTATGTGTTATTTTGCTATATGTTTTTTTAAATGGGCAGTGATGATGATAACAAACTGAGAATGCATCCTATTTTAATTAATTATGTAATGTTTAGGCGGGGCAATTCTGTGTGGATTGCAACCTACATTGATATTACAATGTTTGGGTGATGTAATCCCTCATAATAGCAGCCTACATTGCATCATAGTTTTATAGGAGAGACAATCTTTTATGACCAATCTATTTTTATCCCGAGCCCTAGTATGTCCTCATAGATTTTGGTGATGAATTCGAGCTTGTTTAGTTCTAATTTTAGTAGGAATTGGTGCTATTTTGTAGATTATGAGTTTAATCATACATAGTTGAAAGAATTGGTTTTATCATGTAGCTTTTATAATTGACAGAACTTATTGGTTTTATCATGTAGCTTTTATAATTGACAGAACTTGTTTTATCATGTAGTCAGCAACAATAACTTTATAATTTTCATAAATTGATAGATTTGTATTACCTGTGAAGTTCGTAGAGCTTCGAAATATACAACATCATAAATTGTTTCTTCCGAAGCCCTCATAAGTTGTTCTCACTGTGAGTATTCGTACATGTATGATGAAAAATTTATTATCAGTAGTATAGATGGTTCATAATTTATTAATTCAAATGTTATGTTTCACAAAAATTATGTTTTAAGCACTCTATTTTCTCATGAAGTTTATGAGTTTTATGTTATAACTTGTTGTTTTTCCTCACTTAGAATCATATTGAGTGTGTGCACTAAGTTGGTGAAATCTGTAAATTAAATTGGACATATATATAAATAGCTTATAAGTTGCTCAATGAAATCATACATGTAAGGACCATGAATTTTCGATATTAGTTTAAATAATTTTTTGGTATTTTAAATATTAAATTATTATTTTATCCGATTTTCTAGAATTTTCTATGATTTAATAATACTGTTTTATGTTTATTCTTATTATAAAATATAAATTTAATTGTTGCGGTAAAATCTTTTTTATTAATTTTTATTATTGATATTATTATTGATATTATTATTGATAATAATTATTTTATATTGATTTTCCTGATTCTCTCCCTGAAATTATGCTGATTTTCTCCCAAAATTTCCCCCTTGAATCTCGTATTTCATTCCCCCAAATCACTCCCCATGATTTTCTCCAGCCAAAATTAATTCTTCCATTTTTCTCTCATTTCAAAATTCAAAAAAAAAAGATACCAAATCAATCCTCTCTCTCTCCCCTCTTATTTCCATCATCGTACCCTCTCTCTTCCTCTCTCAGATCCATCTCTCTCTCTCTTCAAGCAAACCCAAAGAAAACCCACCCTCTCTCCTTCTTCTTCTTCCTCAAGCACTGAACCCGACCGCCCTCACCCCGCACCCGAGCTCTGACCGCCGCCCGACGCCCCGCTTCGCCGCCGGCAAGCCCCAAACCCAGCCGCCTCTGCCTCCAAGACCGCCTCCTCCGCCGTTCGGCCTCCGCCAGCACCTCAGAGCACTCCCGCGCCTCCTCCTCTGGCCAACTGCCACCCTCGTCGCCGCCCTAAACCATCCATGCCGAACTCCACGAGATCCACCTCCTCCCCTCCGTGGTCAGCCGACGCACCGACCATGACGAGCAGCTCGACATCCGCGCACGCCTCCAGCCATCTCCACGCCTGCAGCCGCCGCTGCACCATCAACGCCGTCATCCACCTGCCCCCTCGCTGTTCTCCTCACCGTCGGCCACCTCAGCCGCTCCCGGAGCCACTGTTCCGCCTCAACTCCTGCTCACCGTCAGTCCCCCTCAGCCGCTGTCGACCACCCATGGCGCCCTCGACCAGATCCGACAACACCAACCCACCACCCCCTGCAGCCCTCGTCGCTGAGCTCCAAGCTGAACGTCGCCGCAGAGGTCCGATCGACCCGCTGCCTGAATGTCGTAGTCAGCCCCGACCGAGTTCATCGCCGTGCTCCACCGCGTCAGCTCCGATTCGCGCCGTCAGCGTCGATTCGTTCGACGAAAACCCGAGGCAAGATCCCGAACCTTGATTATTTTATTTTAATTATTAGTTTATCATAAATTATTATGTGACTCGTCATTCAATTTTAGATCTGTTATGAGTTAATTAATTAGATTAGTCTGTGATATATTATTACATCCGTGGGATTTGTTGATGAATGATTGTATGGAACTTGTTGTTTTATCACCTAGTTGTTATCCAATAGGAGAGACTGTACATGAAGACGACTCCTGTTAAAAGTATGATTTATAAGCGTGTTTCAAAGTATGGCTATACTCGCTCGATATCGATATCCCGATGTGAGGAGTCCCGAGTTCCCTCGATATCGATATCCCGGTATGAGATTTCCTTGATTATTATTATTATTATTATAGCATTGACTAGACGATGCACTCTTGATCGGACGTGTTGTGGGTCACGGTTATGTTCATAGTTTTACAGAAGTCGTTCCACAGTAACTCCGTGGCTAGTGCACAATATTTCATGTACAGTTACTTAATTAATTTGATAACATAGGGTTTAAAGGGGGATTGGACGGAGAATATAGCATGTATATAAACGGGCACAGCGCTTTCTTGTTATCGTGATATCGTGAGTGTTATGTACATGGGCCAGAGGGCTAATACTTGACTTGAAGGCGGCCCCCGGACGACTTTACGGGGACCCGATTATATACAAAAAAATATTCTTCCCCAATTCAAATAACATGTAAAACAAGAATAATATGTTTGCGTGCTTTATGGTGGACTTTGTTGGTTTTATGAGATGCAGACTAGTTGTATTTCTGTTCATACTTAGATCAGGATTAATAATTAATTATCTATAATTGAGACATATGGTATATACATGAGGGTTTCATTGTTTGGATTATTTCGCTCGACGTATTACGTCTCTTATTATAGATTTTTAAGTATTAATTTCATCTAGTTGTATGACCTTATGACTTGGATGATTATTCTGATCGCTAGCTACATGATTTCATTACCCGATTGATTTACGGATTCTTATGATTATCATGTTTTGGTCGTGGATTGCATGTTGATTTTGTTGGATTACCAGTTGCACGTTCTTTTGTTGTTTCTGTTATCGTATCGTTTTTTGCATTGGGTTTTCGTTCGTTCTTTTCTTTTGTGGGGTCTTTCCGTGCGTCATGCACCTGACGTACACCTGTTTTCTCTGGTGTACGTCAGACTTAGAGGAAGAACAGGTTCAGCTGGGAGTTCATCAGTAGCCAGAGGATTCTCAGCAGGAGTGCCCTGCAGACGGAGCAGAAGAAGCTGAAGCTTAGTTATTGGTCATCCGTTTTCTTTTGTACTACCTTCCATTTCTAAATGATCAGTGTATTTTGTAACTCTTCAGTATTCATTTGTTTAGATTTGTATAAGGGCATGTTTGACCCATATTTTTATGTCTGGGATGATTTACCATTGATGATATGTCTATTTCTTATTCTGGATTGTTATTATATTCTTGCTGATTGTGATCGGGGACCTGTGACTTTGCATTATATTTATTTTCAGACGCTTAGCGTAATAGGTTGAGGAGAAACATTTATTTTTATTTATTCTCCGTGATCTAATACGTCGCGGGCTTGTTCACGTTCTGATTCTCGTGTATTTTAGAAAGCGGGACGTGACAATACCTGCTTAAGATGAGCATTGTTAGTTCAAATTTGAAGTCTTAACTCTCTTTTGTGTGTTTTCTTCATACTAAAGGCAGGGAACTGCTTGAGTAAATGTTGAGAGGGTACTTTCTCTACATAGACATAGGAAAAAAGGCTGCATGAACATGGAAATTGCTATAATGTTATGTGCACATAAACACATGACCATACTCAATATTCAACTACCATTCATTCATGCATGAAAGTTCTTAAACATAGTAAAGTACTTACTCCAAAATAACCTTAAAGTTAGACTAATACATATAACCACACTGAGTGTGTCAAAGCAATTATCATATAGAAAGTCACTAAGGTATTAAGCTTTTCTGAAGTGGATCTGAAGACCAAAAAAAATTCATCAGGTTTGTGCACAAAAACTTCGTAGCAACTCCAATAAAAATTCAGATCCATTTCTCCTTGCCACACTCATTGGAAGTTCTTTTTCTTTTGAGATCTGCAACAACACAAAATAGATAATGAGCTATTTATGATATTGTATTCATATAGTGCTTAGAACATGTAACAAATGATTGCTAATCAACTTAACCTTTAGTTTCTTTGACAGTAGAATTCCTTTGAATGCTCTCGTCTTCTCTAAGATCTTTTATCCTTAAAGGTGAACTTTTGAAAATCTTTTCTATCTTTGGCTTGAGTGGTGTGTTAGTCAAGGGTGTGAACATAGCTTTATCTTTTGAAATATGTTTAGGTGTTTGTAGGAGAGCGTCTTCATGCAGATTAACAACGTCAACTTCTTGGGATTCCTTTGTAGAGAAAATTAGATGTAATTTACTATACATTGTCATTTAAAATAATAAGCATTTGTAATAACTTTGATAAGTTCGATAACTTCAAAATTTAGGCTTGTATCTGTGAATCACCTTCAATAGCTTCGATAAGTTTTGTAACAATGAAGCTCTCATTGCCTGTTTCATCAGTATAAAAATAAAACTATGAAAAACAGATGTAAAGCCATCTTTAAATTTGTAGGATATTATTGCGATATATTAGATAAACGTATTAGATCATTAATCAAACAAAAGAATTGCTTACCTTCTTCAAAGTTATACTTTGTTAGCTTAACCTGAACTTTTATAGTCTTCCCAATAATTGATTTGATAATCTCTAGGAATATCTCCCTTTCATTGTTCTGCACAAAATCACGCATTACTTACGCACTTCTTAATGCATTTATCTTCTAATGTGTAGCAGTTTGATTATTAGAGTTCGAGCTTACATATTCTATTGTCCTTGATACCTCCTGGGCTGAAACTTTGATTAAATTTTCTGCTTCCTTTCCAAAGACAACGAATGTGCTGACTGTAGTTCTATCTTCTACATCCAATGTTATTCTATACCTATTTATACGTTTATATTTAGAAAAAAAAATTTACTCAGAATATGAAGAGAGTGAGAAAAAAATATTTGTAGCGTGAAATAAATTAATTGCTTACTTGTTCTCTGCTAGGACTTCCCTGTTACATTGTCTGCACCAATAGGTGTTTCCTGATTCCATTGTTTTCTTGTTGCAATATGGACATCCATGGTATCTCCATTTTTGTTCAAGTATGCCAATAATTTTCACCTGACATAAGAAATGATAGACCTGCACAAATCCATGATAATGATGTCTATTTTCTTGAAAAATAAAATTTGGTTCATCATTTGAGTGTTTTTGTAACTTACTTCGGCTGTTTTTGGGTCTTCAAAGTATATTAATTCCATCAAAGTTGTTATTTCAAATTTCATTAAGTTTGTTTGGCTTGGACTGAAGTATACTGGTGTGGCAATAACTTGCAATTCAGTTTCAGAGTCCGTATGTCTGTACATATACATATTTTATTAGAAATTATGTGTAAGAATTGGAAAATTATGTGAAAGTAAATCATGTTGTGTATGTCGCAAATCTTATAGTACTTGTGCATGTGTACATCAATAATTTCACTGTTTGTCAAAAAAATTAGTGGCTAATTTTCGATATATATGCAACTTAAAAATTACCTATGTGATAGTTCCAACACACGTGTGTCTTCAATGTTTATGTAAACTTTTGAACCTGTACTTGCTGATGCTGAGAATTGACCTGAAAAAAATATAGCTTATTTTTAAATTATTCCATAGCTTAGTTGATTTGTATAAATATTATTGGTTCAACTTATTCATATTACCTCTGAAAGTATTTATGACAACACCAGTGACAATCATGACCATATTGTTCGGGTCTTGATTTTGAAGTTTGCTTTCCAATTCAACAGCTAATTTGTTCCACAATGTAGCTTTGAGTTCAGCATTGCTGTAATCAAGGCAGATGCAATTTAGTATTGTTAAGATAATTTAACAGAATGAAGCTGCGTTATTTATATATATTCCTACAATGTCGTTACTAAATCTTACCTTTCATCTATCAACTTCAGTGATCTTCTAGGACAACTCTTTTGTCCATTTGCAGTTAGTTCTAATGGGTATATTTCCTTTACAATTCCAACGATATCTATTGAAGATATAGAATATATTTAATAATATCAGAAAAAATGTATTATTGAAAAGGTGAATCAGTAATTAAAATTACAACCTGTCAAGTAAGTTTTATTTGTGCTAAGTGAAGGCAAGTCACTGAATGCTGTGTAGTGGAATTTGTACTTTGGAATTAAAATTCCATAATCTTGCAAGATACAGATTTGAGTCTGCCTGCAGAAACTTATCATAAACTTGTTCCTTGTAGCTCTGTAGGTACCAAATGAATGAATGACTCGAAACTTTGATAGAACATGAATGCTGCCTTCTTCCAACATAGGATAGAATCTAGACATTTCGTTAACATGAATACTTCCCTGAATTAAAGTGTCCTGCAGAATATAGATATTATAAAAAATTTAAACTTGAATGGTGGAAATATAAGTTATGAATTATATTTCATGCGAAAACATTATCAATAAAGAAATCAATGGAAGTGACTATAAGGTTATAAATTTCTTACAGATTCATCCAAGAGGATGATATACAGTCCATAATGTTCTTTTGTTTTGATGTTAATATTCTCCCATATGTTTGTTACACGGGCCTTAATAGTAACCTCTTTTGATTTGATGTTAAGATCTTTGATTGTTGTGTATACTCCAACTTCCATCTTAAGCTGTGCAGACCTGTAACCAATTAATAAGTATGATAGATCATATAATTTACATATAAAGCATTAAACTGTATGCAATGTTTTATAATAGAACACAAATTACAATGCATAATTGGACCCAAGGTTCAATAAGTTCAGTTTATTTGTATTATATGTATACTTCATACCATATCACTATTTAACACTCAATCTAGTTAAAACTATTGTTATAATATAATAATGACATGCAAGTTACATTGTGTTTGATCCCTATAATACCTTAATTCAAGTTATTGAAAATTTCATGATAAACTACATTCACTGTAACTCCATCATAAGCCACATTATCGTCATTATCAATAATAAGAATTTTAAGACCTTGAGGGGTCGTCACTCTTGACACTGCGACGTATAACTGTCCATGCGTAAAACATGGTCTTGGAAGGTACAAACCCACATAATTCAATGTTTGTCCTTGACTTTTGTTAATAGTCATAGCAAAACATGTTTTAATTGGTAACTGTCTTCGTTTCATATGAAAATTCCACTGAGAATCAGTGTTTGTACTGATAGTTCTTGAAAGAAAATGCTTTGAACCTATGTGGCTACCCACTGATGATTCTAGCCTCGATGACCCATTTTAATAACTGAGTAACAATTAATCTTGTGCTATTACAGAGTCCTTCAGTAGGGCTTAGATTACGCAAGAGCATGATTGGAGTTCCTACTTTCAGTTTTATCTCATGATTTGGCATGGAAGGAAATGTCAAAGAATTAAGAAACTCTGTCGGATATAATGATTGATTTAATTGCAGATTTGGAGATGTTTGGCAAATAGAATCTGAACTGAGGTATGTTGTGAATTCTCCTTCTATTTTATCCAGTACACAATTTTTTATGATGTCAACTATCTCATTTCTTGTCAACTATCTCATTTCTTGAAGTTAGTATTGCTCTTTCTTCCAAATAACTTTGATTATAGCAATTCCGTTGAATATCTGGATATGTTGATGCAATTATATCTTCTATTGCATCTCTTGTTGGTTGTAGCAGAAGTTGTCGTGGAATTGCAATTTTAGACTCTTCTTTCTCACAATCGTTGAAAGATAATGTCCCATTACCAACTTCAAGTACCCATTCACTGAATTCAGACGCATTCATTCCTAGCTGATCAGATGATTGCTGTTGGATCCTCATATTCTGCGTCAATTTAAAATTTTTAAAATAATTCCATAACTTAGATCTACTGAGAGTAGCATGTATAATATCATGTTTTGAGCCCCTTGGTACAACAGGTAGAATTTGCCTAAAATCACCTCCAAGAACCACTGTTATGCCACCGAAAGGTTTCTCTGCCAACATTGGATTATCTTTTCCCACAATATCTCTTAGCGTTCTGTCAACTGTTTCAAATGCAAATCTGTGCATCATTGGAGCCTCATCCCATATAATAAGATCTGTCTGTTTAATGAGATTTGCCTCTGGACTTCCTTGTTTAATCCCACATGTTGAATGTTCATTCAATATGATTGGTATTTTAAACCGAGAATGAGCAGTTCTACCATATGGTAGTAGTATCAATGCTATTCCAGAGGATGCTACTGGAAGGACTATTTTTCCTTCAGAACGAAGTTTTGTGCAAATTGATTTCCACACATAAGTTTTACCAGTCCCTCCATGACCATACAAAAAGTATAGTCCCCCACTTCTGCTGTATACAGAGTCAATAACAGCATTATATACATCTCGCTGTTGAGTGTTCAATCCTTGAAAATATATCTCATGTTCCTTTCGTAATTCCTCCCTGTTGAAGTTTAACTCCTGACTTATAAGTTTATCATTGCTTTGCTTCAAAAGTTGGGGATCTGGTGTGGGCATTCCACTGAAGTTTAGTAGGGACTGACCATTTTGTAGCAAGAGGTCTTGAATTTCTGAAAGAGCATGGTTCTGAAGCTGAGTATCAGTCATATCTAAAGTTGCCATATTGAGCAGTTTTCTTTGCAATTCAATAAACCCTTCAGTAAGACACTTCCAATTGTCATTCCACAGTTTTTTAGGATCTACCACTTCACCAAAGATTAGTATTTGCGCAAATAACTGCCTCATTTGACGCCCTGAAGATGAATATGATGCTTCATCTATAGCATGTTTCCATTCATTATCATCATCTAATAATCTCATTGCTGCACAGGTCTCATTGTAGGTTTGATAAACTGTTCCGTTAAACTCTCGTATATCGTCAAATGACGTTGGTCCTTTGACCACATTCAGTAATAAGCGAAGATAAAACCTTTCTCCACATGATGGATGTGCATAAACTATCCGTCCGACACTTTGTCCTTTCTTTCTAGGTTTCCAACATTTCTCCTTTTTCTTCCACACAAATTTTGCCGAAAATTCTGCATATGTAAGATCTCTTGCCTCAGGATAACATTTATTTGCTTCCATCCATCCCTTAAATTTGGTTTGTTTGGACTGAACGTCATTCACAATATCTTGTAGATTATCAATATCTTTGAAAACTATTGGCTCATGTTCAACTAAATGAAACAGAAGCCTTTCAACAAGGGGGTTCAATAGTAGATATCAAAGCCATAAATCCTCCATATTGATTCAGGAGCAGATATATATCTACAATCAAGATAGTATTGTACTTCATCAAGTCTTTCTTTCGCATTGGAAGAAGATGCTGCATTATTGCTTATATGTTGAAGAGATGCTGAGACATAATCGGGTCCCTTAGTGATATATTTGAAGAGGTATTTGATAGATCTACCTCTATTGCACCATTCAACATTTATGTGGGCTTGATACTTAACAATTAAGTTTCGATTGTATGGTACCACATAGCTATTGTCAAGCTTAATTCCTCCTTTTTCAACCCAAACATTTTCATCACATCTCCTACGATATATAGGAAACCCAGCATCATCAATGCAGGTCTGATTGATATATTTCTTGGGGAAATGTTTTGTGCACTTCAGGTTTTTCATACATGGAGATCTTGGTGCAACTTGTCCACATAGTCCATGCGTCATATATTTTGATACAACATCATATCCAACTGGATCCTTTGTTTTGTCTGGTATTTCAGCGACAATGATTTCATCAATCTTTGCTGGTGTTGGATATCTATGAGCAGGATGTAGCCAAATCAAAATATGTGCATGTGGTAGTCCTCGTTTCTGAAATTCTATTGTATATACCGCTGTCAAAAAACAAATACATATGCATTTTAGTATAAAATGACAAATTAAATAATATATACATAATTTAGAACTTAATTTGCCTAACAACAATTTTGAATCTAATTGCATGTGTACAAAGTTTATGTCTATATTCCTTTTTAATGTCAAAGCTGTAGTTCGTCTTTTTATAGTAAAAGAAATAGCTTAAACAATGAAAAGCAAAAATGTTATCAGTCTCTTATATTGCATCTTCTTATGTGCATAAAGAGTTTCATTTGTTTTAAAACTTCATCAAAACCTTGGCATCTAAATTCAGATGCCCCCTTAAGAAATACGTACTGCAACCACCTTCTGGAACATATTCGTTGCTATGATGTCATAATAATATTTTACCAATTTGAGACATGAATTTTTCACACTCAATAAGTTTCAACATACCATCAGTGTTTCAAAATTAATATTGTTGAAGCCAGGAGAATGACCATTCGTGTTTCAATCTTGCTTACAGATAAATGAAAATTTGGAGCAGTGGCCGCATCTAAATGAGTTGCAATGCTATAAAGCTGATTGGGTGAAGGACGAAAATAAGTACGGGTGCTATGAAAGTGTTGCACCTTTGTCATTCTAGAATCAAGTTTTTGAAGGGCCTGACACGTACATAGAAACAGGTGATGACAATATAACATAAGTTTGATTTGTCCATTTGAAATATGAATATTTATGCAATCAGATCTTTGCTACATTGTGTGTGACGTGTTTTCAGATATATACATTAAAATTGGAATGTGGTTTATTTTTCAAAAATCATGAATACGTCTAAGCTTTACGCGCTCATGCACATTTCTTCATATAGTAATGCATAAACACAGATGAGCATATAGACAAACACCTGCACCCACTCGTTTGTTCACCTGTTATATATTTTTTGTGCATCTTTATCTTCCAAAAAATTTAAACATGTGGCTAGGAGCTTATATGCTTTTATTACAGTGATATTGTGGTGGATTTATTTCATTAAAATGTGATTACATCTATATCTGAATGATAGGAGATGTAAATATGATAAATTAAATTGGGCTTGCTATACACTTTCCAAAATGATTAATAAAATTGGTTCATGATCAGGTACCTGACTTGCCTTTTTTTTAGTTGAAGAATTTATTTCATAAACCAAAAAGTGCTTTTTTCTCATATTATAAAAATTATTACTTACAAATGGTGTAAGCTTTACCTCTGGTACTTAAAAGTAAATTTAAGCATGTAACCAAGAGAATGCTCAGATATGTAAATATGATAAATTAAATCATACCTACTATACACTTTCCAAAATGATTATTCTTTTGAAGATCCTCCATCAATGAATCTAGTTTGATCTTGAACACTCTTGCGACGATATCTGGTCTTTCATTAGGTCTCTGTCCGCCATTATTTCTGAGAAATTCAAGAATTTTATTCCACTTTGGATTTGATGTTACCGTGATGAAAAGATCAGGGTTTCCCATAACACGGCAAAGAGCTATTGCATCTTGGTAATTTTGGGTCATATAACGTGGTCCGCCAGTGAAAGAGGAAGGTAGAACAATTCTCTTACCTACTTGTGCACCTTCAGTATCTCCTCTATGTAGTGCATCCTTGATACCACAGTATAACTCCGCACGGATCTTTGACTGATTAACTTTAACCCAATGAAGTCTTTCCTCCTCAATGCAGGTCATGAGATCCATAATGTAAGTTTGTAATAGTTTCCCTGATAAGAGTAATGTATGTGCCTCAGTCTGACGCTGCTACAAACGAAATGAAGCGTACTCCATGTATGTAACTTCTTTCCTTTTTTCTGAGCATTGTTGGTGTTTTGATTAAGTTCCACGCCAAGTCTAAAACCATCCTCTCCATATGGAAAAAGTAGAGGATATTGCATTGCCATAAAACTTGAGTGGAGATCACTTATCCTTGTTAATCCCAATTTACAATCATCAACGATAATGTCTCGAATACCAATCGTATCTTCAATGTTTCCGACAATTAGGCCAGCAATCTCCCCTGCGGTTGGCATGTTTTGATGTCGGCCATCACCGCTTCGGGCTGCCTTTATGACCAATTTGATAGGAATTAAACTATCTTGCTTTACTCTATCCCTCACCATTTGAAAGCATTTAACCAATTCATTACATGAATCTAATATAGTTAGAAGTCCTTCAACTATATCCCAATCCAATTTCATGTAATCATTTAACGCGTTCATATGATTTTCTAATTCATTATTTGTATCATAAATGTAGAGCTGATAGAATTTTGGGATATTTCCAGGGACTGGTCTCAAAGAACCTATTCTATGATGGTTTTTTCTATTTAGACGGAAACAATAAGGCCTACCTCCATTATTGTATGTATTATCAATTGTCCCGCCTGAGGAAGTAAATGCAAAGATTGAGTTATAACTTCTGATATTTTCTTTAAATTTATTGCTTCTGCTATCCTGACCGGTTAACAGATTCCAGAGAAAGGTGGGAGGATGCGTGAGGAGAGGAAATTTGACAGAGCCTTTTCGACAGCATAATGAGAAAGCTGGATTTTCAGGTCTCTTTGATTTCTCAGCTCTTTCTTCATACCAAAGCATAGCATCACAATGTTCGCAAATAAAAGTTGGTGATCCCACATTGTGTATATCATTGTACAGACCTAGAAGTACACAACAAATAGCAATGTTATACAACAAATGACAATATCAATGTCAACAGCATATGAGGCAAGGAAACAGGGACAATTATTTGACATGAAAATAATGTAAGGAAGTTATACCTTTCTCATTTATTTGTTTGCCTTTTCTCCTTCCTTTGTTGCTAAGAATAACCGAATTAGATTGGTTATTGTTTGTAACAGGTTGTACATTATCTTCCATTTGTACGTGAGAATCGTCGAATGATGAATCATATAATATTTGTTCCATCCTTGTATGCTTGATAATAACCGGGGATGTATCCTCAAAGGAAGTAGTGTTACAGGTACCATTATCTCTATGAACAACTTTCCTCTTAACTCGTCTCTCTTTGTTATTATAGGATCGAAGAGCTAAAAACAGATGATGGGTAGTTAGTGTTAAGGAATAGAAGTTTGTCAAAGTCGTAGTGCCTCAACAAAGTGGCAGTACTTTCTCACTTTGATTGGTGAAGTCAATGATCTGTGATTCCAACGAATTCAACTCTGTAGGTAATAATTTCAATAATTTAAGTTTATTGCAGTAGATTTCTATTAACTATTAAATTGGGCATATGTTTAATAAAGACTGTTACCTGTTATTCTGTCAATGAGCTTCGGAGATGAAGGTGATGTGAAAGAACTAACATCCATTGAGTTGCTACTTATATTCTCCATATATGCTCTAAAAGAGATTTCTCCGAAAGTACGAATTGAAATATTCTCCGAAAGAGATTTTTTGGTAAATGGTAGCATACATTCCAATATGCTCAGAAAGATGTGTGGTAAGTTACATTGTTCACTTGCATATATACTTATATTCTCCATTTATGCTCCAAAAGATGTGCAATATACATTTCACATATGCTCAAAAAGTTGTGTTAAATTGGTGGATAGATACCATAAATAGAAATAATAAGATATAGAAAACTGAAAATATTTTCAGTTTATAACTAACACTTTGAATCATGATACTCTATAAATTGTGTACATGTTTTATCAGAGTCAAATTAATATTCAATAAGTTAATATGCTAGAAATATATATACATGAATTAAGGAACAAAGATCTCCAATAATGTAAAGACAAATATACTGAAAGGAGCATAGTATACTTACAGTATGACTTCAGAGTTGATTCCAGAAGCGTTTTCCACTTCTATAATTGAAACAAAAAAAACATAATTTAGGTCCAGTACTTGAAATAAAATTTAAGCATGCAACTAAGAGGAAAATATACATTTCTTGAGAAGCTAGTTAAACTAATGTATGATCTTTATTTGGGTAAATGGTAAGAAATATGAAATAAATATGATGAATTAATGTTGTGATGAAGTGGGTCATCATAAATGCTTTAAAAAGTGAGTTTGATATGAAAAATGTGATGTATATAGGCAGAAATGAGTCATAAATCATAAATGTGGGAAATACTGACTTAATCAAAAAATAATCAAATAATAGTGACCTAAGATCACATAAAACTTTCTATTTGAAGAACATGTTGAAGAAAATTGAGAAAGGGTAAAAAAACTCACCCAAGCAAGAGGTTATTTTGAGATTGTTGGAATAAGAAAAGATTTTAGAGAGAGAGAGAGAGAGTGTGTATATATATATATATATATATATATATATATATACCTAAAATCACATCTTCCTAAATTTTTTTTACGATCCACTCCGTTGAACTTGATCTACACGTTCTTAAACCCAAACACACCAACTTTGGGGTGAACCCGTTGTGTTTTGACCCTTTATCCACTCGTTGCAATTTTAACGGTTTCGAATGAATAGAACTTTTTGCACGCCTCAACGAATGGTCAAAACACAACGGGTTCACCCCAAAATTGGTGTGTTTGGGTTTAAAAATGTGTAGATCAAGTTTAACGGAGCGGATCACAAATTTTTTTTAGAAAATGATGTGATTCTAGGCCGCGTCCTTAGGTGGGAGCCTAGGGTGTCACCTTAGATTCACTTTTCCCTATATATATATATATATATATATATATATATATATACTCTCTCTCTCTTAGTATATAAGTATATATAAGTATATTCTCTCTTCAAGCAAGAGGTTATTTTGAGATTGTTGGAATAAGAAAAGATTTTAGAGTGTATATATATATATTTCCTTGTTTCTCTTTTATGGCATGATAACTTATTATAAATTATAATTTCAGTTTTGGCTCTTTTTTTTCAGATTGCCGCTTTTTTCACAGCTTGTTTGAAGAGAGTGAATATGTGGGACCCACACATTTCCTTGTTTCCTTGCTATTCAAAATTTTGGTGGTTTTTTCAAAATTTTTGTAAGCTGGAGAATTTTCCCAGATTGCCGCTCAAGTTTGATGCACACGCAAACGAATATGTGGGACCTTCAAAAACCTGTAGCAACTCCAGGTTTTGAAGAGGTATTTATCAACTTTGATTAATTTTTTTTCACATATTGCCGCTCTCTCCTCTTTTATTTTTTGGTTTATCCATGTTAATGTATATGAGGTGTAAGCAGGGAAATTTTGTAAGCAGAATATGTGGGGCCCACAAAATGATGTGGCAACTCCTGGTTTTATAGAGCTATTTAGCAAGTTTGATATATTTTTTAATTAAGATTGCCGCTCTATTTCTTTTTTTTTGGGTTTGCCCATGTATATATATGTATATATAAGCTGTAAGCTGGAGAATTTTGAAAAAAATATATGGGTGAACATGAGCTTGGTTTGATTAATTTTGTAAGGCTGTAAGCTGGAGAATTTTGAAAAAAATATATGGGTGAACATGAGCTTGGTTTGATTAATTTTGTAAGTTGGAGAATATTGAGAGATTGCTGCTCAAGTTTGATTAATTTTGCAAGTTGTAAAATTTGCGTGATGTTGCGTGAACATGAGCTTGGTGTCATTAGTTCATGGGCTTGCCTTCATTAATTTTGTAAGTTGGAGAATTTTGTCAACTGGGGATATGTTGTTAGCTACAGTGTAATAGTTGGGGATAGGCAGTTGGCCACAGTTTTACTACAACAGTAAATTTACTGTATTTCTAAAATTTGTAATGATTACAAATATTGATTACTAAGATCTATATCTGATAGAATACAATTACAAATACAGATATTGTCATGAAATATCTGGATCCAAAATATCTTAATTTATATTGATCATGCACTTGCAATTGTTTTAATCCTTTTAGTGTAATGAATTTGAAGTTAATTTTAATGATCAAGAGATCTGATCTTAGCTTTTCAAATATAAAGCAATGTTGTATCATATAAATTATATTTTTTCGATCTTGTATGGTTTTCTTATATCTGTTTTGTATCCGCATGTATATCCATTTATATCTTCGTATGTATGTCCATGTTCATATACGATTTTAGTGGATAAGAATATAAATTATTCTTACGCATATCCATCAGTATTTGTATCAGTGATTGGTAAACGAATACAAATATGGTAAAAAAATCATATCTAAGCCATATTTGAGCCATTTGCACCCCTAATTTTGACAAATATGTTCTTGTAAGTCAGTAATGTGAAAACGACGAAGGAATTGAGAAAAAGAATTTAAAAAAATATGAAGAATAAGCAAAACAGGCTCCACCACACTCTGGTGGTGTCTGCCACACCCTGGTGTGATAGAATCTGTCCTGTCTACCATGGGTGTGGTGTCTGCCATATCCTGGTGTGACAGAATCTACTCTGTTTATCATGGGTGTGGTGTCTACCATCCCAGGGTGTGGCAGACTCGTTTTTAGAATCATAATCTGTTTGGCATTGTGTTTTGCTATAAATAGAGACACGTTTTTTAGGGTTTCCTAGGCTTTGATTGGATATTGGTTTGGGGACATTGGAGCACAGAAAAAGGAGAGTTTTCTGAGCAATTGTTTGAGGGTTTATTTGGAGAGAATTAGAGATTTGTTGGTGAGATTAGTTTGTTCCTTCGAGTGATTTGTAATCTCAGTTTGTACTCTCTTTCTCTATTAGTAAAAACCCAATCCCCTTCTTACCCCGTGGACGTAGGCAACTTGCCGAACCACGGTAAACTATTGTGTTTGGATTTGTGCTATTATATTATGTATTGTTTAGCCTTCTCTTGGCGTTCATTTGGTTTGGTTTCTCAAAGCACATAGGCTTGTTTTGGCTTCCGCCACGTACAACAAGTGGTATCAGAGCTCGGGCTACGTTTGGGCTATTTGGAGGAGTAGATCGTTTTGGAAGTTCGACTAGGGCTTCGTTTGGTGATAAAGTTAGGATCTTTTTGGTAAAAACTCTATGTTTTTCAGTTTGGATCTATTCTTCGTTTGTTCCATATTGGTTTGTTGGTGCTTGAGCTATTTGGAGGAGTAGATCGCTTTGGAAGTTCGTCTAGGGCTTTGTTTGGAGATAAAGGTTGGATTTTTCCTATTTGTGGACTGTGAGATCGTTTGGAGACTCTTGTTAGGGTTTTAATTGGAGGTAAAAATCTCTCCTTTATCAGTTTGGATCTATTCTTCGTTTGTTGGTGCTTTGAGATTATTGATACGGTGCATTAGATTATTGAGAAGTGTCATTGACCTGCATATTGAAGTTCTTTGAGCACGTTGGTATGAGCAATGAGACCTAGGTGAAGTTTGGCACTTCTATTCGATGGTTGATGGGTCTTCTATTTGGTGTTCATTCAGACATTTGGGTGCCTTCCAAGGAGGCATCATTGGAAGGTAATTGGTATTTTGGTTTCCTTTGATTGGAGATTGTACTAGGCATTTGTGGGTTGCAACCAAGTCCTATTGGTTTTGAAGTCCTAGTAGTCAACAACAGTTGAAGAAGTGTATTGACAGATAGGTGAATGTACTTTATCTGATTTGAGAGGGAGGTACAAGAGGGACCTATTTTTGCACTTGTGCCGAGCTCACGGCAATTTAAGACACTTCATTGGAGAGGAAATATTAGGGCGACGAGATAAGATGATATTTTTTATTGGCCGTACCTTTCTGGAGGGGGATCGGTGTTGGTTGCCGAGCATTGGTTTTGGAGTTCGATCTTCGACATATTTGGGTCATCTTATGCATAGGTCGTCGACTGCTGTATTAGGAGTTATTGGATCTGGTGGAGCTGCTTTAGATTTTGGTTGGCGTCAGATATTTGGTTACCCAGCATTTGGTCACATCGAGGATGTGAGATTTGATCCGATTACACGTTTGGGATTCGGAGACTCATTTGATTATCGTTTGGGAGCTTCTGATTTTGTTTTGAGCAGGTATGTCACATTGGACT